ACAGCATTGTTCTTTGCACTTAAACTTGGTAGCTGTATGCAAGCCACCCAGTCTCTGTCTCAGCCTCTACCCCCATCTCCAGATTGGGATCGTAATACTGATCTACTTTACAGGGATGTACAGATTATAATGAGCTAATACACATAAAGCACTTTGAGCACTCTAAAAGTGCTACATAAATGTGAAGTTCTTGCTGTTTGATTTTGTCCCCAGCTTCTTTCATGGCGGGATGTTTAGCTTGCTTCCAGCATGAAAGAGGTGATTCCAGAATGAACCCTTGCCCTATGAGGTTTTATAATGTCAGCCACAATGTCAGTGTGTCCACTCAACATGGAGCTGCTGCCATATTGGTATATTTCTCACATCCTCACACTACATAATTAAGTGTTCACTTATGGGCATCTCCAGCTATGCGATACACAACAGTGACAAGGAAAGCTGCACAGGCTGAATTTCTGCTTTGTATTCAGAGAGCAAAAATCTGTGAGAGCAATGCCACGTAAGTTATTTATGAAAGGTCCTTGCAATCTTTTCTTAACACTTTTTCTTACATGTCTTTATTCAGATGGGCAGTGGGGCAGTGCAATGAAATAAACTAAGATTAAGGCAAGATAGCTAGCACAAGCAACAGCTCACAAGCAACTGCAAACCATGGTTGAATCCAGTGGTGCTGTTGTGCTAGTAGCAGGAAAACCACTGTAGGAATGGAGTTTCCCCTTGGGTTGAATAACCCTTTGAAGGGTTAGGGGACTCTGGAAAAGCTTTGGGAGAGTGCAGTGGGGGTTGATGGTGAAGTCCTGTTGCCTCATCAGAGGCCCATTCTCACAAGGTAGAATCCAACCCATGGTTTCAGATCATGGCTTGTTGCCCACAAGAAAAGTGTTGTTGGCTTTTTGGGTAGGTTTGGACATGCAAACAAACAGTAGTTAAGCTAAGGAAATCATGTTTTAGGGTTAGGTCCAATTACAACTAATGAATATATCTGGTTGTTCTGCTGCATCATGGCTTTTTTCTATAGGGAATTTATTCCTATCCATTTTGTAGAAATGTGTTGCATTGAAAAGAAAATATGCAGTTTCTCTCACTCGTCAAATTGGGGTGGTGACGAGGACATGTTTGTGACATAAAAAAGGCAGAGAGGGGTCTGTGATACTCCTTGCAATGATGTGAACGGGCATCACCCACCAGGGTCTTGTGGCACTAGTACAATGGTCTTCTCCCCAGCATGCAGGATAATTCAGCTTGTTCAAGTCAGCATCTGTTTTCTAGCATATTGATACAGTGGTTAGACTACAGGGAAGCAATGAATCTGCCACATTGGATGATCAACATCTGCATGGTGCTTTGGGGATAGTTGTGCTATTCCCTATGCAAACCACATCACCTAGAAAGCCATTGAACAGAGTCAGCAAAAGCATCTATTGAAGGAATGATATTTTGTGCTTGTGTTTGTGTAACTCTCCATTGACTCAAGCCAGCAAGCACAGACACATGCAGAAGTGACTTCCATGTGTGGGTTGCCTTGATGGATCAGCAAGTGGGCATATCAGCAAAATACCAATATGCACCTTCACCATGAGGAACATTCAGACTTCAGACCCCATGGGGTCTCCATTCACTTAGCCAGTAGAGCTGAATGCTGTTCTTCCATCTGTGGAATATACATTTTCGTGGAATATCGTCTCCTGGAGTGTCTAGGGCTCTACATATGATTGTGACTGGATTGTGGCTAAGACATTCTGGACTGTTAGAACAAAGCAAAGATTTTGAATAAAACCTCAGATTTGTATTCTGGGAAGTTTGTTTGTGTTGCCACATGCGACTGAAAATTGAGTCTTTTACATCCTTCCTCCTCAAGCGGCACAATGTAGCTAGGTTGTTTGTTTGTTGTAATACTGGGGCATAGAATAAAAGGAATGCGGGGCATCTTGACAAAGTTGAGAAAAGAATAGAAAGGAATGCAACAGAGTAACTAATTTAGGGACCTGGGTGGCTATATTTTTGAGTTGGATTAATTCTGCTTTTATTTCTAACTTGAAAGCTGTTTTATAATTTGATTGTGGTGGGGCAGGGGGAGAATGCCCATAGGTTTTTTTCACTGATGTTGCTATTGTTAACTTTTGGCAAAACATGTTTGCAGCAATGAAGCCAAAGCTTAGACTATTATAAAGAGAGTGACAGGGGTGTTGTTTAAGCTTTTGAAAGAAGATTGGCTTTCAGGTTTTGTGTAATGAGATTGGTTAATGGTACTGAACTTCTTTTCAAAGGGTCAACTATAGGAATTCAGCCTTCAGCTGAACTTGGAAATGTTATTATTAATTATATGGAGATCTGAAGCCATCTTTTTTTCTTTGTGCCCAGTGCCTTCCACTCAAGGAAGCTGCACAGACTGCTATTTTTATGTACGGTGAGAATCTTTGTGCAGGAAAATAGCCTTTCAGGAAAATTAAAATGTATTACAATGCATGATATGCAGTGCAGGGGATGATGCAGAGATCATCCTAGTATCTGCAACTTGCTCTGGGAGAAGTAACCTTCCTTTTCTTAACTTTTGAACGATCCATCCTGCTTGACATTTTGTTGGCTGAGTCTGCAGTCTTTGTGTTTTGCTTTTATACAGAGATTTTTTTGAACACCTCAGAAATCCTTATAACAGACAAATAAGGCAAGTTATTACAGGCCAGAGATGGGGTAAGACAAAGACAGTATCCTTCATCATGTTTTTTAAGGTCTCTTACATGCAGGTATGTCATAGAATCATAGAATAGTAGAGCTGGAAGGGGCCATGAAGGCCATCAAGTCCAACCCCCCTGCTATTGCAGGACACCACGTTCCACCATCCCACTCAGATGGCTGTGTGGGAATTAACACATAGGCCAGGGCTTCCATGCTGATGCATGATCCTTCTATAGACCATGTTGCTTGACTTCATTTCCTCAGAGAAAGAGGGCTTGAAATAGTTCCGGTGGGGGTTCCTGGAAGCCAGGCATCAGTGCTGTTACACATCTCCTTACCTACCTCCAGTGTTGTTACCTACATAGCTCCAGGAATGGGGTTGCTGTGTTAGGAATTTTCAAATGTAGGAACTAGGATGGTGGTTTGCCAAAATGAGCTCATATTTGAGGTTAAATGTATACCATCTTTACATCCTTTCCCAATCTGGTGCCCTTCAGATGTTTTGCATCTATACTGTTCTATACCCATCTGCCCCAGCTATATGGTTAGTGGTCAGAGATGTTGGGACTTGTAGTCAAAAACATTTGGAGGGCATCAAATCAAAAAGGCTGGTCTAAATCTATAAAGGCTAGTCTATATCTCCTCATTACAGAGAGGCTATAGCCAGGTTAGAGTCAGTGCAGTGTAGGATCACAAGGTTGGTTGCCGGTTTGCAGGGGATGCGGTATGAGGCGAGACTGAGGGAACTGGGTCTCTTCAGCTTGGAGAAGAGGAGACACAAAGGGGATCTGTTGGCGACATACAGGTATGTGAGGGGGTGTCACATGGAGATGGGTAGAGACCTGTTTTCCCCTGCAGAGGAAGGCAGGACGCGCTTCAATGGAGAGAAGCTCAGGGAACCAAGGTTCAATTTAGATGCCAGGTAGCACTTCCTGACAGTGAGGACCCCGAGGGTGTGGAATGGGCTTCCACGAGAGGTCGTTGAGGCCCCATCAGTGAGGGTGTTCAAAGATAGGTGGACATGCACATGGTGGGCATGTCGTGAGCGGAGACAGCTGGTGCTGGAGGTCAGACTAGATGGCCTGGGAGGCCCCTTCTGTCTCGCTCTGTTTCTATGTTTCTAAATTAGGCTCCTAGCCAGTACAATTTGCAGTACCAGTCTAGCAGGAACACTTGTTTAGAAGCATGAATACCAGCATAGTAAGAGGATGGCTGTTAATTTGCAGCTGGTTCCTGATTGAGTGGATGCTAGTGCACTGCTAGCATCCAAGTCTATGCCCCAACCACTGGTGCTGAAGAGGCTGAAGCTGACCGGTTCTATGAAGGCCTACAACACCTTCTAGAATGAATACCCAAAAATGATGTCCTTATCATCATGGGGGATTGGAATGCTAAAGTAGGAAGCCAAAAGATAACCAGAATAACAGGAAAGTTTGGCCTTGGAGTGCAAAATGAAGTAGGACACAGGCTGTTAGAATTTTGTCAAGAGAATACGATGGTCACAGCAAACACTCTTTTCCAACTACCCAAGAGACGACTCTACGCATGGACATCACCAGATGGTCAACACAGAAATCAGATTGACTATGTGCTCTGCAGCCAAAGATGGAGAAGCTCTATAC